ACAATAAAACAGACAAGTTAAAATCAAATGAAGACAAAAATGTGCACTATCTAAAAAAGAGAAATCAACGAGTTTCTGTATATAGAAATGAAGAATAGGATTTTTTACAGTATATACTTCTACATTGCTTGTAATATTGCACATTAYAGATGTTCTTACGAATATTTCACTTGAGATATATTGCACACATTTTTAATTGCACATAGGTCAAAAAATTTAATGTTTGTAGCCATTTTTTTATTGTTCAGTCCAGTATAATGAAAACAGGCTTATGTTTATATGCACTGATGCAACACAATAATGGTTACAGTGGTGTAAATAATATACAAATTTTAATTAAAGTTTAATTACATTGACATTTTATTGCAACTAAATAAGAATAATTGTTAATAAATGCATTTTTCAAGTTCAACTAAAATGTCTTTTCTTACCACAGCACTGCCCTCTAGGGGCTCAGAAAAACATAACGTAGCAGAACAGACATTAAACACATCAGAGCGTAATATATTATTATATTTAATATTTCTCTTTAACAAGATGAGCTTATGAAACACAGGCGTTTGTTTGCCAGAAAAACTGCAAAAATCTATTGTTTCTCCAAAACACGCTGGTTCACACATCAGTTGTGTGAAAATGTGAGTGGGAGAAGAGGAAACAGGACAAGAGAGGCTGCAAGTGGGGAAAAAAAGGATAATAACTCTGCAGAGAGGTCTGTATGATTTCATGTCTTCTAGGCAGTGCATTACATTCACCCACTTCACTGTGAGTTTATGAACCACACGAGAACTGCTAAAGCCCTGACTTTGTGAATGAAGGAGCCGAAAAACATCAGATTTATTTCGCTTGTTATGTAAAGTGATTGAAACTAGAGATCATTGTGCACAAAAAATAAATAAAAACAAAAACCCTCATGAGCTGACTATTTAATGTTCCAGCACATGCAGGCTTCTTGCTTCACGCTCAGCTGGGAGCCATATTGTCTTACATTATTCATGCTGAAGTCGCATGAAATTCAACCTCCTTTTTCCCCCACCAAAAGACAGAAACTAACCAGTTCTGCAATGCAATAAAGCAAAAACAGAAGGCAGGAATTTTTTTTTCTTCTTCTTCTAATTGGAAAAGGACCGAGATGAATATAAAATAAGCTTCTATGGGAGGCCGTAAACTTCACTTCAGTGCTGTGATCCCTCAATCCATGAAAACAACACAATACCATTGATGATAATGTAAGCGGCACAGGCTCACATGAGTGGAGTGGGGGGGAGAGAGAGAGAGAGAGAGAGAGAGAGAGAGAGAGAGAGAGAGAGAGAGAGAGAGAG